CATGACGAGGGATCTTTGATATTACCTCCCTATTTATTCATCAACATATAAGACTTAACAATCGGGAGCAGAGACATACAAATGCAGAATACAGGAGATTGGCAACTCCAACTAATGGCCATATAATTTATTGAAATATCTTATGGCTCTCTCATTATTTTTCAAACTACTATATATACACATGTATAACATCTTATTTTTAGAATTTTTAGGTAATAGTTTACATGGTTTAAAAGGTTTGAAAAAACTTCTCTTTTAAAATGAGGATTTTACCATGATCAATGAATTTTGAAAATTTACATCAAGAATAAGTTATTGAAATTTCAATGAAGTCACAAAAAAAATTGGGTGGGTGTTTGTATGATTGATACATGTACTTCTTTCTGTTTTTTTGTCATGACGTACTAAAACATATATGTGCACTTGTAAATATTAAAGATTTCTTGATAGTGTGTTGAAGGTGTACATGTATTAATGTTTTATTAAATTTTTTTGGGGTGATTTTGAGGAAAAAAAAAAAATTAATTTGTACTCTTCCATTTTCAATGAAATCATGAGAGTTTGAACTTTCTTACCAGAAGGTACATGTACAGCAAAGATCAACCTATTTTTGACATTGCACTCTAACCACCTGACTTAGGTTAAGGGTAAAAATCTTTGACTTCTTTTGCAAATTTGAATAAAATCATCATGCAAATCTTTCAAGAGAACACACCTAAAGTTGTCTCTTCTATATGTCATTGATGTCAGGAACATGTATCCCCAAGAAATTATTTATTTTATTCCAATAAGGAAACAGGTTTTTATTTTAAACTGACGGATGTAATTCTTTCCATTTATCTGAAAATGACCCTTTGCCAATAGACATATTTATCCTTTAGGGTATTTATCTGAATTATATCCAAATAACCCTCTGCTCTTTGGTCGGGTTGTTGTCTCTTTGACATATTCCCCATTTCCATTCTCAATTTTATTCTAATGTGATGCAACAATCACTTTTTAATTATGAGGTCAAATGTTTAGAATTGTGATGCAATATTTCAGGAACTTGTGTTTGCATACAAGTGTAAATACATGTATGTCTATCTTTTGTATTGCAGGTTTATACCTCTGGTTGAAATGAAGAAATGATGAACAGTTCTTATAGATATACATATTTATGACTGATCCTACAGATGTTGAACAGGTTTCAATTTCAAGAAATTATACAAAATGTTGCTCAAATCAGTGCAGTTACGATGTATGCCTACTTTTTTTCAAACTTGTTATGTACAAAATGTAGCAGGCATACCTGTACTTGCCAACTTTCAAGATTTAATCGTTTACTACATGATGTTGACCTCAAGACCTTGTCCCGATTGCACAATATGTGAATGAAGAATATTCATTTGCAAAAAGGTTCTTATACTGCCTAAGAAGAAAAACGTGGCTGATTAACAATTTTGCAAAGTCTGAAATAAGAGACCGGAATGTTGACCACAGTGGTTTGAACGATGTTTCAAAGCATGCAAGGACTCTCAATTCAGAGGTCCTTCATAGCTCAGAACACTACCAAGTATGTCAGTAACTTCTTTACAACCATTATACAAAAGAAATGTTTATAAGACATTTTCATTGATGTGAGCATATTGAGTTAAATCAGATAATTAAAATATGAATCATATTTAATACAAGTCAATAAAGTATGCTTTAGGGGACAGCTGAAGCCCGCCTCCGTGAAGACCCGTTGGTGGCCTTGGGCTGTTTTCTGCTCTTTGGTAGGGTTGTTGTCTCTTTGACACATTTCCCATTTCTATTCTCAATTTTATTTATTTGATACAATTTGAGCTGCAATGCTACTATATAGATATACATTTGTAGGAAGATGTGGTATGAGTGCCAATGAGACAACTCTCCATCCAAGTAACAATTTATAATAGTAAACCATTATAGGTCATTATATGCACATATAAAGTAGTGGCTTATGGACATTTCACTTATTGTATAAACTAATCCCACATAGCTGTCATTCTTGGTAATAAAGTATCGAATAATTCAAAGTACTGTCTTTAATTTTTCACCAGAAATAATAAATATAAATTGGAAAAGTCAACTGAAACTTATTCCTACACAAAAAAAGATTTTGCTGGTATTCTAGCTTCATGTACATAACATGTACTATCTCTTCTACACAATAGTACAAGAATCATGCATATAAAAAGAAGAAAAATTTGTAAGGGTTAGCGGAAACCCAGTGTCTTGCCTACTTTTGCTGTTAGTCACAGGCTCAACAAAAATGGGGAAATAATTATTAAAAATTTTCCTCTAGATACTATCTTTTGAATGTAAGAAGCTTCTGTTCAAGTTTGGTAAGAATCCAGAATGGTTTATGAATCTAATAAATGTTTTAAAAACTTTAACTGCAGACTGTATGTAATGTTAACTAGAAGAAAAACTAAGTCCATTTATCATGATATGTTTATAAGTAATATTCGGAAAAAAAGGAAATTTTTTTTTACAAAATTTCCTTCTAGATACTAGCTTTTGACCATAAACAAGCTTCTGTCCAAGTTTGGTACAAATCCAGGATGGTTAAAGAAAGTTATTAAAATTTTGAAAACTTTAACAGAGTGAATGTAATGGTACATGTAACTGGCAGAAAAACTAAGTCCATAAATTAATGAGTAAAATACGGATAAACAGGATTTTATTTTAAACAAAATTTACTTCTGGATACTATCTTATGATCATAAACAAGCTTCTGTTCAAGTTTGGTAGAAATCCAGGATAGTTTAAGAAAGTTATTAAAATTTCAAAAACTTTAACCATAGAGTGAATATTTGTGGACGCCACCGACGACGAATGTAGGATTGCTATGTCTCGCTTTTGCGACAAAAGTCACAGGCTCGACAAAAAAGGCTTATTACAATGTACAAATGTAGCTCATCATCAGTATACCATAAGAAAATAAATGGAGAATGTGTCCATAGGACACAGATGATGCCCCTGCTTGGATATGTTATAAAGGGGCATAACTCCAGAATGGTAGAAGAGACGCCACCCAAATTAGAATTTGATCTCAGTTTTGTGGTAATAAAAATCGTGTATAAGTTTCATAACATTTGGTTGAGGCCAACTAAAGTTAAAGAACAGAAACAAATTTATCTTTCCATATATAAAGGGACACAACTCCAGAACGTTAAAAGTGACGCCACCCAAATTCGAATTGATCTGTGTTTTGTGGTAATAAGCATTGTGTATAAGTTTCATAATATTTGGTTGAGGCACACTAAAGTTTGAGAACGGAAACCAATTTTGGGACGTTAGGACTGATAGGGTAACACTTAATACGCCAGTTCCTGGATACGGTAGTTAGTTGAATCTGTCATGTGACTTCCATCTGACACCACGTGACAAAAATGTAGGCATTGCCACTTTTAATAGGTTGAGCGAATGGGTGATAAAAGTTTGATGCTATACTGCACAAAATATTCGGGAAATCAAAATCTAATTAGAAGGTCACCCTCCCTTTAGTTATTTAGGAATTGAAATTATATACTTAAGGAGCATAGATTATTTCTAGACTACCCTGCAGAATGGTGATCCTGAAAATGCTTCAGACTTTATATAATTTATAGTGCAGGGATACAGGTGTGCCTTCTATCTGGTAAATGACATCATTAGGGCGTGCGTAATTGAAGATCTTTTCAGGTGAAAGACATGATTCGAGAAATAGCCTATGCCACCTCAGATGACAGCGGGGGCATAAAAATAGATACAACTCTTATTTCTAGAGTACCAGATTAAAAAAAAGCTCACACAAGACGGCCAGAAAAATTGTCCACCTTAAAAATGTTGTTGCCAACTTTAACCCCATGGGGATTTTTCAAAATTGGCAGGTATGAGTTGGTGAGGATTAAGAATTTTGAATAAGGAGACCTACTGCATGACAAGTTAGGAGTGGTCTCACTAATAAGCGACAAGAAGTGGCAAGAAGCGACAAGAACAATAATTTAGCAACAAGAAGCGGCAAGAAAACAAATTTAGCGACAAGAAATTTAACATTCTATCAATAAATATAAATTTTTAAAAAAAGTCAATATCTATAGTAGCAAAGCAAGCTGCATCACATATATGTATTACAGCAAATATTACATTTTCCCTGTCATGATATTACTTTTCACTTGTGTTTCAGAACAATTGTATATATTGTCTTAAAATTTTTTAAACACTCTCTTTGTCTCATACATGTATATAATAAACTGACTGCATGCAAAATGCATTATTTGTGCATCATTGTCCAGAAAAAAATAAGACATAATTTGTGAGAAACAATGAACCAAGGATTTGTATAGTAGGTTTTACTATACAAATCCTTGAATGAACTGAAATCATTGAAATCAAACAAGAGGAAAATGTAATCAAAGCGTAAATATTTTACATCATTTTATTTTTTTTTTGCTTAAGTTATAAGTTGTAAAAATAATGTCAATGCATATTTTTTTAATATATTTATTTGGAATAAGCTAGTTTAATAGAAGAATTATTTTAAGTTTTCTTGTCGCTAAATAGTCTTCTTGTCGCTAATTAGTGAGACCCGTTAGAAGTGATACTTATGAAATGTGTTCAGATTCATAAAAGGGTCCCCCAAATCCGCCTCTGTGTAGAAATTGTTTGTTACTAATTAGTACATGTAAAATTTAAAAAAATTAAGTTTTCTTTATTTTCATGTGCTTACAAAAAGTTACATGTACATAATTTTTTGAGGCTATGCTATTTCATGCAACCCTGCAGAGTACGAGACTCGACATCAAATACGATTATTGAACCTTCATTGAAGATTAATACTACAGATCAATCGGATTATGTCACTGTGACGTTAATCTCCTAACGTTATTTAAAGTGTTGACCTATTTGAAACCATAACAAAAATGAAATTTCTGCATTTTCAAATTTTACAATGGCATTGTTTCCGTGTGTGGCAATCATGTGGAAAACTATGTTGATTAGTGTGTTCTCACCTTATTGGAAATATTATTGATGCTCATTTTTATCTTCTTACTGTGAACAATTTTGAGCATTTATCTCTTAAATATATCCGGAAGAAAGATGTCTTATTGACTCACGATCTAATTTTGACAGGGTGCGACATGGGTCAACTAGACGTTTGCACTGTCGTCAAATGTGAGATACAAGTAAAACACTCGAAAGACGGAGACATTTCAATGTGTATTGTAGCTTGCGAGGCTCCTTAGGGTAAATTTATTTGTGCTGACAATCCCGAAAATTATATGTATCACCTGGCACTTTATACTAACCAGGTATCACCGAAGAAGTATATCCCTTAGTGGCGGATGAAAGATGATGGATGTGGGTGATAGGGATCGGACCGTCTATCTTATTCAGTTTTCTTACGATTTTTTCTTACGATTTATGATCATGTCAAGAAAAAAACTTGGCGTCCGTCTGTCCGTCCGTAGTCGTAAACTTTTAATACGCTCTTAAAGATCTTCTCCTTCTTCCTTTCTTACGTAGTGTGAAAATGATCAGCATGTCACTCAAGGTTTATCTTCTGTGGAACTTGTTTTATCATCGTTTGTTGTCCTGCCGAACTTGTCATTTTTTGGAAAATTTCAAAGATTTCAGTAGTTGGTTTTTATTTCAAGAACTAAAGCAATTAGACCAAATGTGACAAGGGGTAGAATTTACAAGGATGTCAAGGTCTATCTCTGAAGGGATTTTCAGAAAAATCTGACTGCAACCCATTTTGGAGTCATTGTCCCCTAAATCAGTGTCAATTTTTCAAGTTGCAAATTTCACAGTTATTTGTTAACAGATAGAGAGAAATTCCAAACAGTAAAAATGACTAGAACAATAAGATCTACAAATAAGTCAACTTGGCAGAAATCGTCAAATAACCCATTATAGGAGTTACTGGCTTTGCATGGTGATTTTTACTCTCAGTTTTGCATTCTTAATGAAACTATTGCTGATAGATTGAATCTTTCGATAGTAAAAATGGCTACTGAACAAAATACAAATAAGTCAACATGTACGAATTGTCTATTAAACCCTTATAGGCTGAGTTATTGTTCTTGAAAGACTATAGTTTTACATAATTTTTGCTTTTTTGCAGACAACATGGTCAACTGACTCCTTTTAGGAATTATTGCCCCTGAATTACCTTTTTTCATTTTTTTTAGAAACAAAAATAGAAAACAAGAATATATAGCAATAATATTCAGCAAAATAAGATATAATGATAAGTTAACCTGGTCGAAATTTTGAGTCATCAGGTGAACCCTGAGAGGGGTTATTGCCCTTGAAAGATGATATTTTTTTGCAGTTTTTGCACAAACTATAATAGAATGAGACAGTTAAAAAGCAAAAATATACAGCACAATAAGATCTACAAATAAGTCCCATGGTCGAAATTGTCAACCGACTCCTTATAGAAGTTATTCCCCATAATGATGATTTTTACGTAAACGAAAAAATGGACAAATAATAGTGTATTCACTTAATTCGCATTATTCTTCTACTTCTATGAGAGGTTTTATATCCATATCAAATTTTATTTAATAAAAACATACTTTCACTATATTTAACGATTACCATGCTTATCCTGTCATCAGACACTTTTCTTTCGAATATACTTTAAAGTGTAATATTTGCCACTGTACGTGATGTAATGATTCATTTATTCTAGTTTCCTAGAAACCTTTTTATTGTCAATGTGAAAAGATTTATAACAAAAACTTAAAGATAAGTTATATCGTTTATAGTATGTGAGAAAGAATTTTGACAGTCAATTAAAGAGAAATGATACAAAATAAAAGAATGTGAGGATTTAAAGGGAAACAAGAAGGTTTGGACAGATAATATATACAGACCTTTGTTTCAAATCATTACTTTGGTAAGACTATTCAAAGGTGTGTCTATTTACACGACTTCCAGTTTTACAACCGCATTCTGGAGATATCAAAATGCATTTTTGCATAAATAGACGTGTTTTCAATACCCTAAACATTGCATAAGCACATAATCCGTCATTATATACTGATTTTCTTATTTATATAAATAAGAAGATGTGGTATGATTGCCAATGAGACAACTCTCCATAAGAGACCAAATGACACAGAAATTAACAACTATAGGTCACCGTACGGCCTTCAACAATGAGCAAGCCCATACCGCACAGTCAGCTATAAAAGGCCCCGAAATGACAATTATATAAAACAATTCAAACGAGGAAACTAACGGCCTAATATATGTACAAAAAATGAACGAAAAACAAATATGTAACACATAAACAAACGACAACCACTGAATTAAAGGCTCCTGACTTTGGACAGGCACATACATACAGAATGTGGCGGGGTTAAACATGTTAGCGGGATCCCAACCCTCCCCATAACCTGGGACAGTGGTGTAACAGTACAACATAAGAACGAACTATAAAAATCAGTTGAAAGAGGCTTAACTCATCAGATGGATAAACATACAAATACTACAAATACAAGTGGACGTGGCCGGGTACTTGTACATCCAAACAACAAAAAGACACTAAGTACAGATCTGAGAGTACTCGCAGTTACTGACAGCTAGTTCAAAGCCACTAACAACTAATAAAAAAATTCATGCATCTAAGACTAAATTATCAATCCGTACACATCCAACATCCAATGGATTTTTGCATTCAAGTACATTACTTCTTTAAAACGATTGAACAGAACGGCTAGTTTCAGTTTTTTATCAATACCGATTACGTTTATGTATATTGATGGCTGTGGAAACACTCTAAATAAAAACTTCTGTGATCATTAACATTTAATTTGGCATTGGACACACCCACATAGAAATAAAAAGGGTATATATAAAACAGAAAATATGCAACTCGTCGATTTAGGACAAACTCGATTTCTTTTCCAACAGTTGTTGTTTGATGTAAAAATGCTTGAAATCGTTTGCTACTTTTAATGTCATGTTTGTTATCAAAAGTAATTATTCCTCACGAGTAATTAGTTTCAATATTTTTATTAACTTGCGGCAAGAAGTGCATTTTGTTCGGGAAATCTGATTTTGAAAATTTTTTCAAATAATTTTATAAGGATTAAGATTAAGATTTTGTCGTGAGAATACTTTTTGACAACAATGGTTATTAATTTAATTAATTTACTTGTCAACATACAAACTGTATGTTTAGTGAATTATGTCAATTAAGACTTAATTTAATCTGCTTCGATATTTCATTATTTGGAAACAACTTGTTTATTTGACCCTTTTTCTGTTTTCAATGGTCAACACGTTTCTATGGTCATATGCTTTAACAACTGAAGGTTAAATTTGCAAAGAATAAGGGGTTGAAAGAAAGAGAGAACCATGTAACGCACCGGTCCGACTCGCGCTAGATCTACGAGTAGCGGGGGGCTAATGTATGTTACCATGATTACTGTTCTGTAAATATGTTTTGTCTACCGATTATATTTATATATATATATGTTTAATGGAAAAATAAAATATGTGAACGTTCGTGTATTGTCTCCTGTATTGATAAACCACAACTTCCCGGTATAAGCCCTTTGTCATCTGAAATTGGACTCGGTTTGCTGGACTGTACAACACTGCTACTTTATCTATATGATCATGAATTGTTTAAATATACAATTCCTTCAATATGATGGACTGGAGTTACCAAAAACGATACACAATTAATCAACAATTTTAATAACGTCAAACAACGATTTCTTGTCACGTCAATATACTTTTATAGTATTGAAATATTTCATTAACATGTATTTGTATGCAAGTATAATATTGTAATGGTTACATAATTATTTGTTATATATATGTTACAGTGAATTTGTATAATCAGTGAATATGTAGAATCCCTAAAATGTTCAGGGATTATGTAGAATCACTGGTTAGTTTAGGGATTATATATAATCACTAAAATTTTCAGGGATTATGTATAATCACTAGAAGAAATGTCAGGGATTATACAGAATAACTGAAATGAAGAATTAGTTTCATTTATATAGAAAATGGATAAAAGTTAAATAATTCATTCTTTAAAATCATATTAAAACATCATTATAAACATATAGATTGTAAAATGTAAAGCACAATATGTTAAAATGATAACCTCGAATACATTAAAATGTTATGCACAACATATCAAAATGTTAGGAACAATATACTAAATTATTAAGCATATAATATTAAAATATTAAGCACAATATTTTAAAAAACAAACATTACATTCACTCTGTGGTTAAAGTTTAAAAAAAAATAATAACTTTCTTAAACTATCCTGGATTTGTACCAAACTTGGACAGAAACTTGTTTATGATCAAAAGCTAGTATCTAGAAAGAAATTTAAAAACAAATTATTTCCTGTTTATCCGTACATTACTTATAAATGGACTTAGTTTTTTTTCCAGCTAACATTACATTCAGTCTGCAGTTAAAAGTTTTTAAAACATTTTTTAGATACATAAACCATTTCAGTAACTGTTAAATTAATCTATCATGTGCATTTTCCTATCACACTGAAAATATAGACAACAGCAAAAGTAGGCGAGACACTGGGTTCCGCGGAACCCTTACGAATTTTTCTATACATTTAGTTGCGTCAGTTCTCTCAGTTTGAATTTCTTGTTCATTTGAACACAAAATACACACAGAGGTTTCATAACCTTCCTCGCCATTTGTTTTACTACAAATAAAATGCACTGTGGATTTACAGTTTGAACATTTTTTGTCATATAAATGATCTTGGTAAACCATGATGAACTTGAAATTAAATAGATTGCATATCATCGTCAGATATTTAAGTTTTGTTATTTTTTTAGATCCATGCCCACCAGCCCCAATCTTATGTTAATGTATAAGGATGTAAAGAGTGTAATCTGTATAAAGTATAAGAGATGGTAGGAGGCTTTAAACAATTTAAATACTAAAGTACTTACTGTTCACTTTAAACTTTCAAGGAATAAGAAAACACAAACGACAAGTTATCTTTATTTAATTTTTTATCAAACACAGGATCTTTGAATTATTGATAATCCCTGAAATCATACTAGGGAATTTGTAGAATAATTATATAAATGTTCAGTGATTATGTAAAATCACTGGTCATTTTCAGGGATATTTTGGTGATTC